ATTTTATTTTAATTGCATGAAAATCGTTTCCCAGGGAGGTGGGGGAAACGGGAAGAAGAAAAGGCGATTTGTATGAAGGGCCAAGGATTTTATTTTATTATATTCTCTCTCACTCAAATTATAAAATAATTTTAAATAAAATCACAGATGAATAAAACATTTTAAATATACTCTACAATTTTATTTTTTTAAAATAAAAATATAATTTTTTAAAGATGCTTTTTAATATTTTATTTAGGAAAGAATGTTAAATAAAAAGAATATAATTAAAGAGGATGGCATTAAAAAATATTATTTTATTAAAGTGCCTTGGGGGGAGAGAGAGAGACAGGGTGATGTGGAGAGAGAGAGAGAGAGATGAAGAGGGGTCCATTTTGGGGGGATTATGGGGTGGAAAAGTCAAAGCATGAGTTGAGAGGTGAGGATCACGTAGATGAGCATAATTAATGAAGATATTGAAGGCGAGAGAGAGAAAAGAGATGGATTTCGCGTGAGAGGAGAGAGGAGAGAGGAGAGAGGAATTAATAAGAATAGAAAGAGGAGGGAGGTTGAGTCGCCATTTTCAAGCTCCGCGGCACGTCAGATGTGTGTGCGTGTGAAGCACACACGTGGATGCCCAACCCATTACTTCATCGCTTGTCCAAACTCCAAAGTACAAGCCTCAGCCTCCCTTCTCCACCGTCCTCAATTGTTCTCTCTCTTTGTTGTCAGTTTCCAGTTACCATCACCAAACCTCTCGTTCATTTTCTTTCCTCTAATTTAATGCTCTCGACCTATCCAAAGTTATTCAATTTAATGCTCTCTTTTTATCGTTAATTTTCGGTTCCCCAATAATCATCGACAATATCTATACTCTCCATCTTCAAATTTAACACGTCTTCGCACTTTGCATGAATTTAATATTTATTTATAATAAAACACAATAAATTTACAAGAAAACACGTCAACATATATGAAAAATCAGTGGTGTCAACGTGAATCAGTACATTAATTTGTTAAAATTTTAAAAATAAAACTAACGAGCGTTGAACGACCATGACAGCTTATAACAGGTTCACGTAAATGCGAAAAAAGTACTTTTGAGATAGCTAGTGAACTGCTCCTGATCATGCTTGAAGTGGAAAACCATACCATCCATTGCTAGCGCACAAGCATTGTGAGCATGAAGTCAAAGAAGTAAATAAAAAAAATTAATATAGATTTAAAAAATCTTGGATCCGCCACTATATATATATATATATATATGCAGGGAATGTAAAAGATCAGAATCACCTGCGCCGTACAAATTTGTAAAACGTGGAGTCTTGCACTGCAAGAAAAATAAGAATATAATAAATCACCTAGTTTTGCCTCGGTTTCTTTTCTTGTCCCAAAAGTTTTTGCAAAGCTCCCCTAATGAGTATACTCTCACACACATATTTTAAACAAGACCCTTTGAAATGATTTCTCGGAAGAAACTGACCCATTCAAAATGCATACTTTAATTAAAACACTATTTATTCCCAGTTCATCTAATTACCAAAAAAAAAAATGGATGGTCGAGCGCGTTTAAATAAAAAATAAAAAAAATCATTTTTCAAATGTTAATAACGTGATAAGCTACGGCTGTGTAACGATGGTGCAGTGACATCTTTGCTTCTTCTTCTTCTTCTTCTTCTTTTTTTTGGGCTACGAGGGAGATCTTTAACAAAGAACTTACCGAATGAGAATTATTCGACCAACAGGGGGAGCTCCACAGTCGGCAAACTCTCGTACCATACCTTTTTTTATATTTTTTTAAGAAAATATAACTAAATTTTATATAAAAAAATTAATTACTGTAAGATTTATTAAAAATTAAATTAAATTATATCGACATGGTTGTATTATTAATGTAGCTTAATTTAGTTTTCAATAGATATTGCAATAATTAATTTTTTATATGAGACTTTAATGTAATTTTTTTATTTTTTATAATTTTCTCCCAGCATTTTTAAATAGAACTAAGGTGAAATTTAAAATTTATCAACTTTTTATAAAAATTAACAAAATTTTCAATTTTTTCCTTGCTAAATCCATCCTTCGAGAAGCAAAAGAGTGCAAGTTTGAAAAAAAAAAACACAATAAACATTCCGTATAATGCTTTTAAAAAAGTATAAAAATCTCCTCCAAATAAGTGCGAGGATAAATCATTATTATAATCCGAATTATTTCTTTTCTGTGCAACGTACAGGGGTCTCTTGATAAAATACAAGGATAAATGTAAATCAATGTAGAATAAATTATAATTAATGATTGATTGTAAAAAAAACATATTTATATTAACTTTTGTTATTAAAACTTATGTCTCATTAAAAATAAAACGAATAGAAAATTAATCATATTTAAACAACCTAATTATTAATTCTCTAAATTTCTTATACATTAAATGATTCAAAGATTTAAACATATATATGCATGACTAAAAACAATAAAAATCATATTACCAAAAAAAAACAATAAAAATCAGTAATGACCATATATTTGAAAACAACTTCAAAGAATATCATTGTGCATAAGGCCAAAATTCTTGCGTGACATACATGACTAACTTCATGTTCTCATTTTTTCTTTTCACAATAGCTTCTCTTTATTATTTTTATTACACATCCGTGCAACTAACGGGGTTTGATACTAGTTTATTAAACATCCCGTCTTGTACGAAATTTTTTAAGAACAAAGTGGTAAAAAAGTGTATTGAAATTGTATTAAACATCCCGTATTGAAATTGACATTTAATTAATCAAAATCAATTTTCGCTGCGAAGCTCTTAGCAAAAGCCACATGCTTTACGGAATTGGCAATTAATAACTACTCCTCCTTCTATTAAAAAATATAAGATATTCTTAACTGAATTTTACTCTCAATAAAATAGTTACTTACTTTTTAATTAATTTTAGCTTTTTATATTTACCCTTATTAAATATTGTATAATAAATATAAAGTTATTATCAATAGAGACACTTTAAAAAAATAATGATTATATTTTAAAAAATTAAAAATATCTTAAATTTTTGAATATGTAACTTTTTAAATATTTTTAGATGGAGAGAGTATCATGTTCGAGGGAAAAAAACTGTTGAGACTGAAGCTGAATTTATGGAATGACAAAAAGACAAAAAAAAGCTGAATTTATGAAAGTCTATCGTGATGAGCGCATGGACATAGAGGCATGCTGATTAGTACTTCCTTCTTTTCTCATTGCAATGTACTCTCGATCACTTTATTAAAATCAAAAAATTGTAATTAGGTTATTAAATTTATATAAAAATATAATAAATTTTTAATTTTAACCTTATTCAAACCGAAAAAAATGTAAATTTGCATTTCATTTTTTTCATAATTAAAAAGTTTTAGTAATGATAATATTAAAAAATATAATTAATACCCTATAATGTTTCTTATATTAAATTTTTTAAAAAAATACGTTTAGCAAGGACCCTATAACAGAAAGCAGAGGAGCAAGAGGCTATCAGCGTTTTTCATGTTTTTTTTTTAATTTTTAAATATATTGTGGGCAATAAAAATAGAAGAAGTGCACATCAGTTCAATGGGAAAGAAAAGCGGAGGGCGACCCTCAACCCCCTGCGAGCTCCTAATAAATTAGGGTAGTTGTCCGTTAGACGGACCATTCTAGAAATTTGTCCCATCTCAAAGGTATTGCGATGCAGCAGCATTTAAAATTATTTACATGTTCTTGTTTTCTTTTTTGAAAATAACGACATAATAGAGAGTTAAAAAAAAAATCAGTTTGCAGGATAATACTTGGTGCCTTTTTTGTTTTTTTATGATAATTATTTCCTATCCTTTTAATTTTATATAGCTTTAAAAAAACCGAGTTATGTCATTCGGGGGAAAACTTGTGATTTTGAAACTTGTACTGGGAAAAATTGCAGACGGATGAAAGTAAAAATTTCAAAAAAAGGAACGTATATAGGAGAAAAAGTGTGTATTGCTATATATTAATTATTATAAAATGGTATAAAAATTCCTATCCGCAGCTATATAAAAATATACATAGGTAGGAATAATCACTATAATTTAGTTAAAAATGGTTGGTGACTCCTCATGTATGTATTTATATGCGGGCTCCATCCATTCGGAGGAAAGGAAGTTTGTTGTTATATGAGACTAGGATATGTGAAGGTAAAAAAAAAAAAAAGAGGCAAATTTTTCATTGATGTTTTTTTTGTTGTTGTCAAGAAATATTCCATCGAGACCAAAGTATAGGTTATCTTCTAAAAATGTTATTTGATCCAAAATATAGAATATGAGGCAATTTTTATAATTATTTTTTTAACTATATATACTCTTGCTCTATCTATAACTTTTTTGACAAAAAAATTAAGATGCACATGATTTCAATTATTATTATTATTATCAAGATATTTACATAAAATATTATTTAAGGATGATAAATATAATTTAAAACACGTACTCCCTCTGTTAAAAAATGTAAGACATTTTTTGAGGAGTTGGATATTAAAAAATGTAAGGTATTTTTAATCTTTTGAAGTGTAATCATTGTCATTTTTTTTTACTTCTATTGATAATAATTTTATATTTATTTAGGGTGTTTAATAAGTGTAAATATGAAATGATATAGTTAATTTGAAAGTAAGTAACTACTTTATTAGAAGGTGAGATTTGATTAAAAATATCTTATATTTTTTAATAAAAAAAGTATAATTTTTTAAGACATGAAGGTTTTAGTGATTTTTTTTTCCTGAGTTTTTTCAAGTCCAGATGTCCTCAGTGCCTTCGAGTCCTTGATGATGATGCCCTTTTACTTTAATAATTTTTGTTAAAACCATGAGACAATGAGGAATGTCCTGTGAGGATGGAGCAGATGATTTGGAGATTATATGTGGCGGCAAAAATAGAGAAAGGAAAGAGACAAGGGAGCAATAATGGAAGAAGGGAAGCTGAGTGATTGAGGGAGGGACAGTTGAAGGGGGTTATTAATTAATCCCATAATGCACAGCTGAGTGGGTGAGGACGTGAGGTCTTAGCCTTCCTATATATTCCCTCCCTCCTCCATCCTCACCTCTCATCACTTTGCTTTTCTTCTTCCTCTCCCACATTCACAACATGCACAGCAGCTCTCTCCTCCCCAGCTTGCTAGCTCTCCTCGCTGCAGTAAGCTTCTGGATCTTCATCACTCTCATCACTCCTTCTTTATCATTCCTTTTTATGTTATATTCACTTTGCTTGTTTGCTTTCTTGCAGGTCGGCCTGGCCGCTACCCATGCCGCCTTGCCTCCTCAGCTTTACTGGCACTCCATCCTTCCCTCTACTCCCATGCCTTCTTCCCTCTCTCACCTCCTCCTCCCTTTTGGTCTCTCCCTTCTTTCTTCCCCTTTTCTCTTCTCTCTCTACATCTTCATCCATGCACCTCCACTTACTCTCTTCATCTTACATGTTTTCTCACATCCTGAAACCCCCCCTCTCTCTCCATGACGATATTTAATAAATTAATAATAAATTAATTCATTTTCTATGTTTAATCTCTGTGTCTCATATACTTTTCTTTTCATTTTACTGACTCTTCTTCATACATAACTGCATCAGAATACTTAAATTGGTCTGTATTCAGCTTCAAACACCACAAAAACCCATCTCCTCCTCCCTTGTCAATTACATGTTACTGCTCCTTTTCTTTTTCATCCCAAGTTATAAAATATTTTTTTAAAGAATAACACATACCATTAAACTCACTAAATATATTTTATCATTTTATTTTTCAAAACAAAAATATAAACTCTTAAAGATGTCCTTTATTTAATATTATATTTATGAAAAAAATATTAAAGGAAAAATATAGTTAATGAGAAGGTAATGTTAGAAAATAATTAATTAACTTTTATCAAAATCTCCCTACAAAATGTATTATAATTTGGAAATTTAAAGCAGAAGGAGTACTGCTCTACCTAATTATAAGGAACTAATTCTATGTATTCTCCGGGAGCACGGGGGCAGAAATTCAGCAAAGTGTGTCTCCATTCGTAATTACTCCCTCCAAGTTGGGCGGTTGAAATCAATCAATATGCGGGGGCCCTTCATGTCGACCCTCCGTTTCTCACTTTTCCGGTCATTAATAATACCGATATAGTTGAATTAATCCCCTGGAAAACAAACATCGTGTGAATCGTTGCTTCTCCATCGTATTACTTCATTTAATATTCGTCCGTGTCCAAAAATAGATCGGATCTTCCGAATCCATTAATTCCTTCTTTTAACCCTTGAGTGTGCGGTGCATGCATCCGAAAGCCATCCAGTTTTCACTTTTTACTATAGGATCTTCGTTTCCTATAAGATACTGACCCGAGTGAGAAATTTCAAACATGCAGATTGGAGGGAAGACAAAGGCACGTCGGTGGCCGTGGGAAAGGGCGGCGTCCACGTGGATGCCGCAAAAGGAAAGCCCGGAGGCACCACCGTGAACGTCGGAAAAGGTGGCGTGAACGTACACGCGGGCAAAGGCAAACCTGGCGGCGGCACCACTGTCAACGTCGGCGGCAAAGGCGGAGGCGTTACCGTCAACACACCCCACAAGGGAAAGCCTGTCCACGTTTATGTCGGGAAGTCTCCTTTCAATTACCAATACGCTGCCACGGAGACCCAACTCCATGATGACCCCAACGTGGCTCTGTTCTTCTTGGAGAAGGACTTGAAACCCGGTCACAAAATGAACCTCCAATTCACTCAGAGCACCGACCAAACCTCCTTCCTTCCTCGCGAACTTGCCAAATCAATTCCCTTCTCCTCAGCCAAGGTAACAAGACCTGATCAAACTTCCCGATGATATAAAGCTACAGGCCTGCTTGTCATTAATATATTTCTATATATCTACGTATTTACACTTTCTTTTTCCTTTTGTTTTTGGCACAGTTCGATGACATATTGAACAGGTTCGGTATAAAGCCTGAGTCTGAAGATGCAGAAGTGATGAAGAACACGCTGAAGGAGTGTGAGCAAGCGGGTATAAAAGGTGAGGAGAAGTACTGTGCGACGTCGTTGGAGTCGATGGTCGATTTCGCGACGTCCAAGCTCGGGAAGAAGGTGGAGGCGGTTTCTACGGAGGCGGTGAAGGAGACGAGGATGCAGGAGTACACGATAGCTCCTGGGGTGAAGAAGATCGGGGAGGAGAAGGCGGTGGTGTGCCACAGGAAGGAGTACCCGTACGCCGTGTTTTACTGTCACCAGACGGAGACGACCAGGGCCTACACGGTGCCGTTGGAGGGGGCGGACGGGATCAGAGTGAAAGCCGTCGCTGTTTGCCACACCGACACGTCTCAGTGGAACCCGAAGCACATGGCGTTCCAGGTGCTCAGAGTGAAGCCTGGCACTGTCCCCGTCTGCCACTTCCTCCCTCAGGATCATGTCGTTTGGGTGCCCAAACACACTTAAATTCTCTGAGCAGCTTTCCATGTGATTTGTGTTTGTCGACAGCCATGGGCTAAGTTCGATTGTTCCGATACGGAACTCAATCTTCGTATAATAACAGCATGTCTTATCGTATAATAATCCTACTATATATAGTACTACTCTGTGCATGCTATCTACTTGGTTACACGCACACTTGATCAGGATTCAGGCTTGTGTACAAATTTGCATGTGATGCGTTATGAACCATGTATATGTTTTAATATAGTGAGGTTTTCAGACTCCCTCATTTGCCGTTTCTAATGAGCTAGGCTTGGTCGTCAAAAGATTTTAGACAAATGATCTTTTCGACTTTATGTATGTGTCTTCGTTCCCAGTCAGTTGGCGTTTACGTCGATTAGTTTTTTTTTTTTTTAACAAAATATCCAATTTTGACGTAGGATTTTATGTTTATTTGGGTAACTCAGAAATAGTAGTGTTTTGCAAAATGGAATACTAATCCAAAACAAAGCTTAGGTTTTGAAAAAGGAAAATAAAAGCTGATTTTAACAAAAAGTATCGGAAATTGGTAGCTAGACACACCGTAATAATTAACGAAGTAAATTAGTTATGTTACAGGTTACTGCTTCCTTCGATCTGATTTATACGGCCTGCCCATTAATACTTAATATAAGAACCTTTGTGAAATGCCAGTCTCTGATCTTGCCCACCGCTAATTACGGAGTTATCATCTAGCCCTCCAGTGACAAGGACATCTTTAATGTACGTTCTTAATATTAATATGAGATATTTTGTTTAGGACATTATCTTTTTTCCATTTACTATCCTTGACTCGCTATATATAAAACTTTCTAACTAATTAAACAAATTCTTCTAACTAGTAATGTTTTTTTAAAGCTAGTAATGTTTTATTTTATTTCATTGCCAGGGATCCGGGAAATGTATCTGAGATATCATCACCTACTTAAACTAATATGAAACACCACTACATGGGGCATTATTACCAACAATAGCCTTACAAGTATTTTTGGGATGTTTTTGACATTTTTATTTAATATATTTGCATGTCCCAAGACTTAAACCCGAGATTTTATATGAAAATTATTAGATTATTTTGACCAGTTAAAAACTTTTATTGTGGGCAATCATAAGATTTTATAAGAAATAACTAATTTTTCTATATGATTATCTGATTGTACTATATTCAAATATTGTCAAGCTTAATTGAAAGTAACTCTTTCGAAAGAGTGATTTTTGTATTCACATGAACTCGAATTTGAAATCCGGCTATAGTAGCTTTCACTGAGACTAGCATTTGTTGGTAGAAATAACTAATTTTGATTAACTTTCTTAATTATTTAAATAAACTTGCTAATATATGCTTTAAAAAAGGATTAAAAGGCATATCAACTCAAGCAAAAACTATAAATTCATATTCTCTCCCTATGTCATCTCTGTCATCCACACACTACTTCCTTAACCAACAATTCTCACTTTGCTGAGGCAAAAGTTGAACTTGCTCGTTGCATTCCTGTCTACAAAGAAGAGAAGGATGCCTTACCAACAGCCCCAAGATAATATATATATATATATATATATATAGCAACCTTAGTTCACAAATGAGTTTACAAATTAGGGAATATCATTTTCACAACTATTGAAATACAAAAACTAGCGATGCATGCCCAGACTCATCATTGTAGCCCTCCCTATCCATCTTGTAGGGTTGGTTGGAGACTAAATTGAAAATACACATAGCCAAAAGTACATTGTCTACAATGCTAGAATCCCATTCTTAAAAGAAGGTACCCTATATCCTGCAGTTCCAAACCAAAGAAAAGGACCTTGATAGAGAATACTAATCACAAGATCTTTGGTGGTGGCTTACCATATGGCAATAAAATAATTAACACAATTCCCATCACATCTACCATATTTATATCCTCCCTTATACTACCTACAACTACATCATATTCAAAATAGTTTCAAAACACACAAGCATACTTAAAAAGATTAAATTGTATTATTTTCAATTTTTAAAGCAACCAAGCATGCTTGAAAGGATTAAACCAGTATAAAAAATCATATTCACAATCCAGTCATTACTTAACCAAAACTAACATATTTAAAAGGAATAAGATAATCATACAGTAGTTCAAATATTACACAAGTATGCTAGATTAGATAGTTCAAAACATAGATTTTCAATCCAAAATCAATTAAGCAAGCTATTAGACACAACATTTCCATGACAGTTTATACATATAATAATATAAAACAATGATTTCTCAATATGAAAAGAATAACTATTATTACCTCATTTTCAAGCTAAAACTATGCCTTCTAAAAGGTTCACAGAACTATCAACACAAGCACTATTAGTCTACAAAAATTAATAATAATAAATATAATTATTTAATAAGTCTAAATAATTTATTTTATCCAAAAATTAACTCTAACACAACCATTCCTAACGTTCCTTATTTAATTTCTAAACTATTCCTTTGGCTTAAATTAATTTACATAAAGTTTGCATATTTTTTCACCTCCATAAATTTAATAAAACTCCTTATATTCAAATTTTCCTCAAAAGACTTAAATTTTATCTCCAAAGTTTATATTCTAATTTATCAGTTTCATATAATTGATTCTAACCCTTATATTTATGATATTTATAAATAGATTTAGCCTCTATAAAATTTTTTCTAGCCTATTAGATTATAAAAAATATTATTCATTTATAGTAAATCTCCCAAAAAGTTAAAAAGGACTCTAGAGTATTCAATAACAATGACTTGGACAAACTAATGCATATAGACTCTTATTAATATAACATTTTTAACTCGGATAACATTCCAACAATTTGTTGGAAACACTTAACAAATTTAGTCTATCTAATTTTAATTTCTTTTCTTTGTCAGATCTCAAAAATATATATAAAAAAAAGAAGGGGAAGAGAGAAAAAGGGGAATTACTTACCTAATTTTTAGGAGTCTCGTAGTAGATGAATTAAAACTTTGAGACTTAAGAGTACTCCCTTCATTTTAAATTATAAGATACTTTTAAATAAAATTTTATATACCAATAAAACTCATTAAATACACTTTATAACTTTATTTTTTTTAAGACAAAAACATAAACTTTTAAAAATGTCATTCATTTAATACTCCATTGATAAAAGAATATTAAAAAGAGAATATATAAGAAGGATAATATTAAAAAACTATTATTAATAAAACTTTATTTTTATCAAAATATTTTATATTTTTAAATATTAATTTTTTTAAAAAATATTTTATAATTTAAAATGAAGGGAATATCAAGATAAAGCTCTCACGTTATCACTCTCCCTCGCAATCTGATCTGACTCTCCCACCTCTCACACTGCCGCCACATAAAAAAGACGCGTCCCTTGCGTCCACGCACAAGCACAGCACCGTGGGTCCGTATTAATAATACCCTAATCTAATCAAGTAGTGGGCTGGATCCCACTATTTGATTATGGTTATATTATATATATTTTTTAAATCTTTACACGCACACACACTATAAAAGTTGATTATATATATAAATATAATTAATTAAGACTCTTAAAGTCCGAAAGACTAGATTAATTTACATATTTTTCCCAATTTTAATTAATTTCTTTGTTTAAATAATATATAACATGTTAAATTAAATAATTATTTTTAATATTTTTATTTTATCTCATCTAATCTTATAAATTTTCTCCTTTTCCAAAAATTATATCTTTAATTTCTTTTTTGAATAAATTTTCTTTACTCGATTAATTACATGATAAATCTCAAAATAAAATTAGGATATTACATTTGAGGATGAAATTCCTTTTATCCCTTGCTTTTCTTAATACTGGAAAGGGTATGATCCCTATCCTTAATTAGTGATCCTATTTTGAGGAGTTTTAATCTTGATTTGGATAGAAGGAAAAGTTAGAGAAAAATAGAAGGGAAGGAAAATTAGGAGGGAAGACTAACAATATTAGTAAAAATAAAATATTTTTTTGCAGTTTTCTTCCATAGTTTTTGTACTCTCTAATCTTCCCCTCATGCAAATCAAGGGTGGTAAGTACTTAATGCGCTGAGTTTTTCTTGCAACATGCTCGTTCTCAAATAAATTTAAGTAAATTTGATTTTGAAAAACTTTTTGTTACAATGACAAATGTTATGCGTATTATTAGGTTTTTTTTATATAATTATCTGACTAGATCATATTTAAGTATTGTTGGGTCCAATCTGAAAAAACTATTTCACAAAGATATTTCATGCATTGACACATGCTCAAATTAAGGCCTATTATTTAAGTGGCCATCGTGCCACAGTCCCTTCCACTAGGATTGATATTGCTTAATGTTTTGTTATTTAGACTCCTTATTCCAATATAGTGAAGGAAATACTATAATAAACTTTATTTTTTCAGTGATTTTTTATTCATTATGTTACATATGGATTTTCCCCCATTAAATTTATTTTTTCTACCTTCTACTCCTTTTGTCACTATATATAAGGTGTTTTTAACTAAATCCTACTTATCGATAAAAGTTTGTTATTTAGTTGAAAGCACATAAAAATATAATAATTTTTTAGTTTTTTCCTTAAAAATGCCATAATTAATATCATGATAGTAGGTAAAGCACAATTAATGCCTTTTTAATTTCTCAAGGTAATGAGGGTAAAATTGTCAACTTACTTAAAATTATCAAGACACCCCTTATATATGGGGACAGAGATAGGGGTGTAGGCCAAGTCCTTAATAAGGGCAAGCTACCCTATTTCAGGCTAGGCCATGACTATTTACTAAATAGATTGGGTTAAGTTTAGGATTTTGATTAGGTCTGTTTAATTAAATAGTCTAAGCCTATTTTTTACAAAGCCAAGCCTATGAGTCTTACAGGCTAGGCTATTTATATGTATATTATTATATAATATATTACCTATATATAATGCTCCTTTCGTTTAAAAATGTAAGGTATTTTTAATTGAATTTCACCTCCTAATAAAGTAGTTACCTACTTTTCAACTAACCTTATCTTTCTATATTTACCCTATTAAATACCCTACAATAAATATAAAGTCACTGTCAATAGGAGCACTTTTGAAAAAAAGCAATGATTACACCTTGAAAGACTAAAAATATTTTTAACATTCAACTCCTCAAAAAATACCTTACATTATTGAATGGAGGGAGTATGTACTATAGAATATTTAATTTATAAATTTAGATATAATCAACTCCACCTATCCCTTTTTTTTTTCAACCCATTCTCGTTCT